AATAAGACAAATGCTACATTTATGTAGTGTTTAATTCCCATCACTTGTACAATACTATGCTGTTGGCATACGTCTCCATAAATGGCTTCAGAAGAAATTATTGCAGTGTAAAAATTGTTTCCCTGAATTTATGTACCTTTTACTGTTCCCAGGTCTCAGAATGGCTTTTAAAATGACTCTTTCAGACTCTAGAGCCACGTACGCGGTACTATATGTGGGGCATGTTCCTCTGCCCTGCTCTGTAGAGGGAGCTAGAGAGAAGGGAAACAGAGACAGCACAGCCTGATTCGCTTTCGCTGTCAGAGAAAGGAACACGAGAAAGTGAAGGGTCAGAAAAAGGCTGGGGAGCTTAAGTCTGACAATGAAGGCCTCAAAGAAACATCTAAGAAAACCAGTCATCCAATAAACACACACACCGGATGCCTTGCATCTCAAGCTCTGCCCTCTGCCCTGGTGAAACAGAACAGCCAGGGCTTCCCCGGAGTCACTATGGGAGACTGAGCCCCACAGTGTATCTACTGCCTCACAAATTTCTACCTTACCCCCATTTTCCACTTTAGGTCTTCTCTGGAATGTGCGTGTGCATGCATGAATGCATGTGTGTCTGCATCTGTGTCTCTGTGTGGTAATGGGGACTGAATCCACATCATCAGCCGTTTTTAATTTTGAGACAGGGTCTCACTCAATTGCCCAGGTAACCCTCAAATTGCAACCCTCCTGCCTCAGCCCCCTGGCATTACAGGCGTGTGCCACCGCACTCAGCTCGCAGACGTTCCTTCTTCAGGTAGCTTTAAGCCTATTCTCCACAGTAAAACAACAGAACAAAAGCCCACCGGACAATCCATTATTGCATACCATAACTATTACAGAGCAAAACATTTTCCTCTAGGAATATGTTATGGAGTTTCAACTTCCTGGGTGTACACAAAATAACTGCAGCAACCTCAACGGACAATCTACTAAAGCACAGAACAAGACACCCTCTACCAGCCTCCCCAGCCAGGGAGCACGGACTCTGCAACCAAGGCTAAAACGTTCATCTACTTCAAGCCCTCAGATGAGTTCTCAAAACTCTTATTTCTTTAAGACAAACAAGTCTTAAACTATCTAAACCATAAGTAATACACGCTAGTCTGGGAAAATGTCCACAGCATGGTGTTAATGAAAAACAGCAGGTCACATGGCAGCTAAGCACAACTCCATTTTTTTAATGGAAAAATCAAGACTGGAGATATAGCTTAGTGGTAGAGCACTTGCCTAACATGCATAAGGCTTGTCCCTAGAACCACAGGGGGAGAAAGTAAGCTTAAAAATTACTAAAGAGAGCTGGATGCCTGTGAGCCCTGCTACTCAGAAGGCTGAGGCAGGAGAATGGCAAGCTCAAAGACTTCCTGAGCAATTTAATGAGACCCTCACTCAAAAAGTGAAAAGGGGATCATAGGGATGTAGTTCCATGTAAACTTCTGGGTTCAATGCCCAGCACCACAAAAAATAAATATATAAATAAATAAACCTAAAGGGAGAAAAACAAGTAAAAATGAAAATACACACTACTTAGCTATTAATACTTGTTCATGTTTAAAGCATGAATAGTTTTTTAAAGGACAGGAACTCTCAGATTACATAAGGTAACTGACCAAGGTGTTCTCATAATATCCACTTACTTTGGAAGTAGGCCAAGAAGACAAGGACTATGAGGAATACAGGCCAAGGGAGGGGACAGCCACCCTTTCATCACTGTGGTCTACCGTAGGGAGCCATTGAAAACAACTGCTTAGATTTTTATAACTTCTGATTTGTATTTCATACAGATACATTACAATGGAGCAAAATTAGCAACTTTTAAAGATAAAAATCAATGTCCATGAAGTTTAAAACTTCACTAAACTACCCAAAACTCTCATTAGAAACGTTATACAAATTAGAAAATTCCACCTTTAAAATGTAAACTGTAAATTATCTAAAAGCAAGGCTCATTAGGTCAATTTCAAGGTATTTTAGAAGCTCTTATTAATCTCAATTCAAACGCTGGTACCATTTGTAAAAATCAAACGCACGCCAAAGTGCTAAACCAAATCTCAGCGAAGCCTGCCTTCTCGTCGCACCCGGAGAACACCCCACATCTTCAAAGGACCTGAAGAAGCCTTTCCTACTGGAGCAGGAACAGCGGCGCTGTTTCTCCTCTCCCTCTGGTTCCTCCCTCATGGGTTGATGGGTCCTAACCTGCCTCTCACTGCCCCCTGCTGGCTAGGCAGGAATTCAGTCTTTCCAGAGGGCTCCATTTAATTACAAACGCCATTTTACATTTTACAAGTAAACTGATTCCTCAAACATAAAAATTGTTACATTAATGACACTTAAAATTAAGAATTTCTTGCTACAAAAATCATGTACGTTGAACACCCGTAAGAAAATGGAAAACCAAAACATCCACATTTCCACAACGCATATCCTTCCAACCTCTCTACTGGCATTATCTTTATATTCATTTGTCTTCTCAATATCTTACCCTACTGTGTATGTTCTGAATGCTGCTTTAAAAATACTTGTATCAGCTGGGCATACCTTGTATTAGGTGGAACAGGCCTGTAATCCCAGCACTTGAGGCTGAGGCAGAAGGACTGCTGCAAATTCAAGGCCAGACTAGGCTACATAGTAAATTCAAGGCCAGCCTAAACTACATAGCAAAACCCTGTTTTTTTAAAAAATACTTTTATGTCCTTCCATACAGTCCATTTTTATAGTACCATCATAGGCCAGGGATATTCTCTTTAATCATTCATACCTGAAATACATTTTAGACTCAAGACCAGGTAAAAAGAAAACTTGACTACTTGACATTGGGGTTTCTTACAGCCATTGTAAACAGGGACTCAGGAGTCTGTCCCGTGAGCAAGAAAACATGTCCAGTCAAGCTTCTCAGGGTACACAAATCCTCAAGATTCTGAACATGAGCAACTGTACTTCAAGACTGCTCTCTCCAATCATAAATGAAGACCTGTCCTGCCTGGGAACTTCAGCTCTGATGAGCTTCCTCATGAAGCCCCATGCCCTACAAGCAAGTCACAATTCTACAGTGGCAGTTCCATTTGAGCTGAGATCTCAAGGAGGAGCTATCTAGAAGGCCCTTAAGAAAGGAAGCAGCAGGACTAAGGAAGGTTGAGCATTATTGAGACCAGTTCTGTTGTGTAAATGGTGTTACTCACAGCTCAAAAATCTCAGTGAGGTAACTGAGGGTGCTCTACACCTCTGGCTTGAGAACAGGAATTAACCTGGTACACAGCATAATAGCAGAACACAACAGTATTCCTCCAATAAAAACATCTGATTAAAGCTCACTTTTAGGCATACAAAATTTGAGGCACAAAAGGGTAGCTGTCAGATGGGAGACCCTAGAATTTAGTGGAGTGGAAGCAAATTTCCACGTACCAGGAAGGCTGGAGAAACAGATCCCAAACCCAATACTGGAAGTTATTTGCAGCTGAAAGGAGGCAAGAGGAAGAAACTGAGACTGAAGAGTGCGGTAAAGGAGAACACGTGACAAGAATATGCTTTAAAGAAACCCGCTGGATGGCAAAGAATGGACTATAAACCATTCGTTTTGACCAATGGAAGGTTAGTAGCCACATTATACCCAGATTAAACAATGACAAAAAGCAAGGAAACAGATTTGAAGCTTTAGGGAGAAGGGTTGATGGTAACTATTACATATCACATGTAAGCACGGTACTAATACTACTAGTGTTCTGCAAGTGATACCCCATAATCAGACAGTACAAAGCCTTTAGGCCTGGTCACTTACAGCAAAGTTTGAGGCAGAATTTAGGACCTGACTGAGGAACACTGCAAGACTCATCTCAAAAACATCCCACAAAACAGGCAAAAATAATTGCAAGAGTAGGTGCAATTCTCTCAAATCTACTGGCTTAAAATTCTTAGAAGGGGCCACTTATTATTTCTCAAACAGCAAATATTGACCTTTTAACGATGCTATTCAAAAATAGCATATTGCTGGGCATGGTAGCGCAAGCCTGTAATCCCAGTACTTGGGAGGCTGTGGCAGGAGGATCGCTGTGAGTTCAAGGCCAGCCTGGGCTACAAAGTGAGCTCAAGGCCAGCCTGAACTGCATAGCAAGACCCTGTCTCAAAATAAAAGCCAAACAAAAACAAAAACACAAAAATAGCATACTCCCTAAAATTGGCATAACTCCAACCACTCCTTTTCTCCCAAACACTGCCAGGTATACAAAGGCAGGCCAAATGCTTTCTGACGATGGGAAATGTCTCAAACAAAATCTTTTTCCTTAAAAAAAACTAAGCAAAAGATAAGTAACAATTACAGCACATAATCCCAGGTCTTGCCACCCAGATATTCCAGCTCTGAAGCTGCTGGTATCACTTGAGGGACCAAACTCTGCATTTTTAACCAAATGCTTCCCAGCCAGCATACTTTCTGCTTTTGGGAGACAACCATAGTACTTAAAAGCAACCAGTACCGGTTCTACCCTGTAGACTAATACAAGCATTCAACTCACTTGAATAAAATAGAAGGCCTTAAAGACTCCAAGTCTTAACCACAGACTGTCTCAAAATAAAACTGCTCATTTCAATGTATGTACAAACTAGGTCAACGTAAGACGCAGCATCACACCCCAAGTATCAGACTGAATGTGACCTTGCTCACTATATTGGTCATCTCCCGGCTTGTGCAACTTCTGTACATCACTGTCACCTCTCAGTCAGCCCTTTCCTATAGGTTTTAGGATGGTCTACTCAGTTACTAATGCCCACTCACCAACTGTCACTTTTCCTTTCCTCAGAGCAGCCTCACCTTTGCTTAGGCTGCTCATCTTTAAATGTCTCCGCACTAAGGTTCCTGAATAAGTTTTCTTCTAGAAACCAAGACATCAAACAAGTTCACTCGCTAACAGCCATTTTGCAGTCACTTTTCCTTTCACTAACAGACCTTATTTTACTGCCCCAAGTAAAAAGACAGAGAATAAAGTGAGCCAAAATTTTTATTTATTCATTTCTTGCATTTGAAGTATTCTTCGATGACATCCTTGGCCTGAGATTCTTTGCCATAGTCCTTAAAAAAAAAAAAAGTACATGTATTTATTATTTGTCTCACTAGTTCTTACCATTAGTTGTAGTAAGGTTTGAATGTCTTATAAAAATGTTTCCATCATTAAAATGTGTAGCCATTTTCAGGGACCTTAATGACTTTGATGTCTTGTCTTTAAGGCTCGTAACATGGCAGTACTATTGCCAGCTTTGGTAAATTTCTGCAAACACATACAGATAAGCAGATTCAATAGCTGGCTTTGAAATTATGGCTTATTAGAATGTTTCCAAACCTGTTCAGAACTACATTTTCCCCGTTAGGAGGTCCTCAAAATTTCAATACAAGGCTTATGAACAGATACCCAGTGAAGCCTCTGCCCCCAAAACAAATACTGACTTACCTTCACCACAACACAACTGCATCCAACCACTTTACGGGGTTTTCCCTCTCGGTCAATTTTACAGAGGCCTACCCACTCCCCTAGTTTCTTGTTGTCATCAACCTATTGGGTAATTTAAAAACAAAATCACTGTGTTAGTTGACAGTAGTGCTACTGACAAAATAAATTAAATCTCAGAAGGTAGCTGTAGTCAGAAGGGTGACATGGCATTTTCCTCAAGGCAGTTCAGTAGAGGGAGCCAGTTGTCATCATGTACAGCACCAGAACCAGTAAGCACCCCACCCTCTCTTTGTTCTAATACCAAAATCTACATTCAGTTTCCGACACAAAATGTTTTATTAGTGTGAATGCAAGCCACCAAACCCGTCAGGCCCATGTAATGAACACATCTGCAGAACCCACCAGCCTCAGACTGCAACTGTCCTAATTTTGACCCTTGACAAGCCCAACTCAATTAGGTCTGTTCTTAACAGTGCAGAAAAGCTGGGTGTGGTGTCGCACACTGTAATCCTGAGGCAGGGGGTCCACTGTTGAGTTCAAGGCCAGCCTGAACTGTCTAAGACCCTGCCTCAAAAGAAGAAAAAAAAGGTAGAAAAATCAACTCACCTTAATTAGGTTGATTTGGTGTTCAGCGCAAAGGGCCTCCACTAACTTTACGTACATAGGCTCATCACAGTTGGATGCAAGCACACAAAGATGGGCTTGGCGCCTGAAACACACAATGCAACCACAATGAAGTCTAAACTCCAGCTTTAAACCCTTTAACATTACCCTTCCGCGGTACTGTTAAAGGATTATCTCTGCAAAGGCCATACTGGCAAAATATAAGCAACACAGAAACACACCTGCAAATTAATATACCATACAGTGTGTACGAAGTTGTTTCAATGTGACAAACCTGCTAGACCACAATTCGGCTACAGAGACTTGAATATTAATGTTCAATTAACCTCCCAACGCTTTTATATAGGTTAAGTAAAAAGTTTGTGGCCAAGCTATGTCAATTTCTCGTAAACCAGTTTTTCAGGACCTAAGTCCCGTGGTGCTAAATGCAAACTACCACGGACCAGACATCCATTAGGGACACAGAAGCTGCACAGTACCGCCAAGGCAGGTAAACTACTACAGAAAATTTCACCCACCCACCTCAGTACATCTAGAGTACCGCTTCCATTGTATTCAACCAGCCACTTTACCCCGAAGTGAATTTTACTGGCAAAATTTATCTGCCTTGAAGCCCTTTAAATTCACATCATGCATTGATGCATAGTTTGCCATCCATGTACTCAGCCCAAGAAGAACACAAACACTTATCAAAACCAAATACATTAACAAGCACTCTACAAAAAACTTCCGTAGCTTTATTTACGAAATTTCATCTCAGAATCAAAATGCTCCTATGACCAGTACCAGGTTAATCCCCCATTAGTGTAACATTTTCATTAGCTAACTGCTCTGGTAAAGGTTTCCCCACTTATTCTGTTAACGTAAAACTCACTGCACAATCTACAGGTTTGTCAGACTTCGTGTGTCACTCATCAAAGGAGTGAAGGGGTATCCGACAACTTCAAGTCATCACTCAAACACTGTAGCTTCTTATCTCAAAACCTGCAGCTCAACCCCACTCCGCACAGCAAGCCACGTGTCTTAAGTGGGCCACATACGTAAATCTGAATTCTGGTACCTTTTCCTAGGTTTCCTGTTGAACGGATGCCATTGGGAACTTTTGTGCTAACACCATGAACTTCACGCTTTCTTCCCTCGGCTGCGGTTTTGTTCCGGTCGCAACAACCCACAGCAGTATTGAGACTCACGCACGTACTTGTCTAAGGCTTTGGCGGCTTCGCGAATTCCGCGGGCGAGGCCGTCGTGGATGAGGGCGGTCTTCAGCACCTCTTGTAAAGCAGTATTGACGTCCATTACACCTCCAGCAGCAATGCTGAAAGCGACAAGGCGGAGCCTTCGGGTAAGGCCTCCCAACAGCTAAGCCCCGGGGCCTGGCACAGCATCGCGACCACCGCGGGTACGCTCCCCGCGGCGCCCCTGCCCGCCCGCCCTGGACCCTGCGCTCACCCTTCCTCGGCCATGGCGGCGGGTTACGGGTGAAGCCGAATCTTGACCACACTACGAAACAGAAACAATACGGCGGAGAACTTAAACGCAAATACGTGTCGCCCATCTCAAGAAGACGTCACCGAACCCAGCCCCAGGAACACCACACTCCCAGGAACACCACACTTCCAGGAAACTCACCCGAAGCCTCCGCCTCCGCGCAACTCGGCGGCGGCAGGGAAAGAGGCTGCATGCGCCCGCAGAACGCTATTTAAAGGTTTGGCTGGTCTCCTGTGCGCATGTGCACGTAGGCCCACGAATAGGGTGGCTCTTGCAGTGCCAGACCTCGAGAGTTTCTGTTTCCGGTTTGAGGCCGTTGAGAAGGAAAGAGTACTGCGTGTTCTCCGTGCCTGCCCCGTGGGGCTTTGGCGCGCGCGACAGGCACTACAGTAGACAGCTTCCCGCCGACCGTCGATGTCGGGGGCGTGGCCAACGGAGGCCCAAAATCTCTTTTGACGGAGCCCGAGAAGAGTCAAACATCCCCGTCCGTGTTGTCTATGTAGCCACCTTTACACACCACGTAGTAATTTGCTTTCGGATCCACCGACTGAGCCTTCATGAGGGGCGCATTTTGCCCCTTTGAGTGGATGTGTCCTTCTGTGGGCGATCTCCACTTTTGTTTCCTGAGCCAGGCAACACGTTGTCGTACATCTTTATGGTTTTTTGCGACCAGGTCTCGCTGTGCAGTTCAGGCTGGCCTTGAACTCGGGGGATCCTCCTGCCTCAGCCTTGGGCGTGCGGGGATGACAGACGTGCATCCCCACTTCCATCCTGGCTCCTGTTTTCGCTACCTTTAAGCACTTGTCAAACACCTCTTTCCTTGCCGCGTGTTAAAAAGCCGACCTGCGGCGGGGCGGTCTGTTTCCGGCGCGAGGCTGGGTGCAGCGGCTGCATCACCAGCGCCCCCAGTATGTCGACAGGGACGCGGTTAGGTACTAGAGGGGGGAAACGACCGAGTGTTTGCGAAATCCGACGCTGATCTTTCCAGGGCTTGGCGAAGTTAGGGGAGAAATTCCAGAACCTCCTTTTGATTTTTTTTTTTCCTCCCAAGACGAAAGATGTTTAATTTTGAGGTGACTGGTCATTTCTCCCGCCCCTTTTGCAAAACTAACAGACGAAACAGCTGACTCTAATGCACACAGTCTTCCTTATTTCCTTCTAACTTGCACTCCGGTCAAGCCTCCAGCCAGTCGGCAGTTACTGGGCCCCACCCTTGTGCACTCTGAACAATGTCCGGTTTCAGAGGGCCTCAGGACAAAGGCATCCGGAGTTTTAGTAAATGGATAGCATTCATTTTTAGCTTTTCGAGTGCCTTGGGTTTCATTTGCAAAAGTGTTGAGACTACTGCTCTTGTTTGTAACTCACCCAACTGTTTACTGGGCTTTGCGTGGGAGAAAGTTTACTCCCCTTCCCTTGCGCAAAAGATCTATCTCCATGTCTCCTTTTACCTTTTGTTTTGCTCTTTAATTTATCTATACTTCGGGTTTGTCATATAAGAAAAACCGTTCTATGTTTAAGCATGTATGAGAGGGGAGGGGAGGAAAAAAGAATCACTCTGCGTCACGCATGTGTACCACTCCTCCCGAGCGATGCGGACATGTGCTAATAAAAATTTTAAAAATAAAAGGTATGAGCTGGAAGTTTAGCTCAGCGGCAAAGTGCCTGCCTGGCAAGTGCAAGGTCATGAGTTCAATTCCCGGTCCCGGAAGAGAAACGAAACAAACAAACAAAAAAAAAAAACCTACTGACAATCCTGCCACTGCCCTTTTTGAGATGAGATTAAACCAAAGATTAGGATACCTCAGTGTTTTGAAAGTGGAACAGAATGGCACGGGCGAGCTGGTGGGAGTTACTGGAAAGAAAGGCTGAGGGTCTTTGGGCTTGGGGCAGCGGTGGGAACTAAGAGCTTCTTAACAGGTGAGGGAGGGCATGATGCTAATGAAGAGTAGAGCCAAAGGCCTCGGTGCCTGTTTCGTTTTGTTTGTTTGGGAATTACCTTAAAACATACGTAATTGAGAAAGAACATGGTAGGTAGTGTTTCAGCACTTTTCTCTTTATCTAAAATCAGTTAATTCGTTAAGCATATTAGGTTTTGAAGCCTTCCCGCCCAAATCTTCTTAAAGAAGAAGCAGGGAATTTGGTAAAACTATCGGAAGTGTAAATGGGGAAATGTTAAGGGAAACAGTGGGAAATTAAATGTACTCTGTCACCAAACAATGGCATTTATGTGAAAGGAAAGTGATCAAGTGCCTTATAGCTTGGTGCCTGTAGTGCCATTTTTCGTGGCAAAGAACCAACCGGTTCAGACTCGGTTTCTCTCTTTCTGCAGCTTTTAGTCTGTTGTGTTGATTCAGATGTCATGGAGTTCTGCCCTAAAATTACACCTCAGTAACCGCCTTTTTATTTATCGGCCACAAACCTCTCTCCTTAGAACTGAAGCTACATTTTTAAAAAGTCCTTAAATAACCAGTTCTAGTCCCAAAACTAAAAGTAAAGGACACACTGGTGCCCTTGTTATATGAGGATCGATTAACATAGATTCTCCTAGGTTACTTTTTAAAGTGTACCTCCTCTAAATTTTAGATATTAACAAAGGTAGAAAGAAATAGGAATAATCACTCATCCACAAGCACATTGTAACATTTACATACTGTACACAAAGTCTGAAATTATACACAGAAAAATAAGTGGGACTGGAGGTATAGCTCAATGGGAGTCTTTATCTCGCATGTCTGAGGCCCTTGGTTTGATCCCCAGCCCTGCAAAAAGGAAAAAAAAAGAATTCTACAGTTTGTATTAGGAACAGCAATAGTAATAGGAAATGCTGTCCAGCATTTTCTGTGCGCCAGGTCACATGCTACATCCTTACCATGTATTTTCTCCTTTGATTGTCATAGAGACCGTACGTAGCAATACCAATATTAGCTCTCTTTAACATGCGAGGAACCCAAGGCTTAGACAGTTGCCCAAGATCAGATCACTAGGAAGCATGGAAACTGGTCTTTTAGTCCAGGGGACTTCAAGCTTCTGCTTCTAACCCTTCAGCCATTTGAATAATGTCCCCCAAATGACAGAGAGATCCCTGAATATTCAAGGATGACTCTATGCTTCATTTCTGGCAGTACCACAACTGGTTCTGTCTCAGGGACTGTGCTAAGGTTTTGCATGTAAGATGGGTAAAGGAAGGATTTCAGTTAGGCAGGGAGAAAAGGCAGCCGTCAAAATGTGGATTTCTGAATCATGTGAGTGTAGATGTCTAGGGGGTGACGCACAAAGCATAAAGTTTTCATATCATAGTTTGAAGGTGAGAAATCTGAAATCGAGTTGTTGGCGAGGTTAATTCCTGCTGAGGCCATGAGAATATGCTGCTTCTTAGCTTTTGGAGATTGTTTGGCAACCTTGGTGTTCTGTGACTAATAGTAACACACTCTGAAGTTCCACTGACATTATTCCTGTGTACATGTCTGCTCTTCTAAAGCTAACACTCGCTGTATTAGGGACCTGCCCTCTCCAGTAAACCTTGTCTTAACTAATTAATCTAAATGAAGCCTTGTTCTGAGGTGCTGCGGGTTAGGACTTCATCACATGAATTTATGTTTTGTCTTGTGTTTTGTTATTTAAAACAAGGTCTCACTGTGTATTTCAGGGTGGCCTCAAACTCACAGCAATCCTCCTGCCTCAGCCTCTGAAGTGCTGGGATTACAGGCACATACTCCTATGTCCAGCCTCCACACAGGAATTTTGAAGGAGCATATTTCAACTTATAATGTCAAAAAGTACCAGACATGGTGGGGCACACCTATAGTCCCAGCACTCTGGAGCCTGAAGTAAGATTGTTGGGAGTTCGAGACCAACCTGGGCTACATAGCAAGACCCCATCTAAAAAAGAAGAAGAAGAACAAGCAAAAGTAAAAAAAATAAATAAACACCAAAAATGGAGAACTAGAACAGATTAAATCATAGAAAGGATCTTTGATTTTAACCACAGAAAACTTACTTAGAAGCCCAAAGCTGAGGAGGAAAGCTGAGCCAATGTATGTTAAAGATTTTATACATTGGACTTAGCAGGCACAGCTAGGCTGAATTAAAAATTCCAGCTCACTTTGTAGCCTGTAGTAAACTACAATTCAGTACGGTAGTGATAGTGCTAGAATATTGTTGTGAGAGTTAAATGAGATAGTTGTTTACAATATTTAATGCTGCACCTGTGAAGTATAAATGTACCAGATAAAGAAATTCGCATGGAAATATATGGGAAGGTGCTTAAATGTTACCTTTCTCCTCTCCTAAATTGTCCAGCGCTTATATACTCCTTTTCCTGCTGGATTCGCTAAAAGTGTGTATTGCATGAATTCATTTAATTAAATGAGATTAGAGAGGCATGTGGGTAAATTCCATTCCTAAAGGAAAGCCTTGAAGTACTATCATAAATTAGCATCTGCTGTGCGTTACATAGTTGGAGGCTTTGGGTATCCCAAATGAACTTTTTTGTTGTTGTTTGAAGACTTAAAATGTACCTACAGCGGATAGAAGAGAGCGTTAAGCAGTAGCAGAAGAGTTAACCTCTAGTAGCTTATAGGTCTAACCCTCATTTACTACAGCATGTCCTGCACTGTAGTTTTAAACACATTAAAGAAAAATTAGTTGTAGAAAAAGAAAGATTTGCACAGAATCCCATTGTATCAAAGAAAGAAGCAAAGGAGAGAGGAGAATTGGTAAGAAGGAAAATAATTGAAAGATAAGAAAGATAATAGATGTGTAAAAGTGGGGAAGTAGATCAATAAAGACTGCTGGTAATCTTGTAGCTTGTAAAGTGCAAGTTACATTTTAGCTATAGGGGCTGGGGATTTAGCTCAGCGGCAAAAGCGCCTGCCTGGCAAGTGCAAGGTCGTGAGTTCGGTTCCCGGTACCGGAGAAAAACCAAAAAATAAATAAATAAGTAAACATTTCAGCTATAATTGCAAAACCCAGTTTATTAATGAAAAAAGTTTATGGAGGAGAATGGAGCTAGACAATTGCATAGCCAAGTATGAAACCCATGCCAACAGTTTGTGTATCTTATGCGTCCTGTGTAATCGAGCTCTGAGTTTCATAAGTGTTCCTAATGTGGGTGTAAATTTTAGAAAAACAGAGCTTTTCCAAAAATAGTGATATATATTTGGGAACAGCACTACAATGGGAATCACAGATTCTATCAATGGGAATGTCCAAGGAGACTGAGGCAAGTTAAAGAGCTATTTTGAAACAAA